CAAGAGAGAAAAGCACTGCTTTTACATTGTGATATAAAATTTTAGGTGTGAATTTTGACCAGTCTGATTTATTTGTGAACACACATACCCCTCCTCCCCCCTGCAAAAAAAAAAACCACTGCTAAAAATGTTACAGTTCCAGGTTTCAGTGCTGTTTGGGGTTTTTTTGATGCTTGAAATTTTGATGCATTTCCAGCTGGAATGTTTTTTCGCCTGTAATTTTGTAAGATATTCTAAAAAGACACCCAGCACATTCTTTAAAGCCAATGTCTAGAATTAAGTTTGCTTCAGGTAAATAAGACCATTTGCCTTATTTTACTCTTCGCAAACAGTAATCAAGAAGCAAAAAGGTCATTCAGATATTTTTTTAAATAATTCTCTTAAATCTTGCCATGCAGAGGAAACAGAATTGCTGCCTACACCTTAGAAAATATTTAGACCACTTTCTCAAATCTGTTTTGCAAAAATCATACCCAAAAGTTTGTCTAGCATTAACATCGTAATGTTAAGAGAAAGAAGAAATCTGGAAAGCAGAGATGAAACAGCAAGTTACTCCGTATTTCTTCCACTCTCAGGAATCACAAGAGGCCAATTATAGTAGTTCCACAAACAAAACTTGAAAGAAAGAAACCCAAAAACCCACAACTTCTCTACTCTCACTGAGCAAACATGAAGGCAAGATAGCCAGACAAGCATGAGCTACAGTACTAGCATACACTATCTCAAATTCTTACGTATACATACATTTTCTGAACCTGAACTTGCATGGGCCTGCAGTGAGCATTTATGTTGAAGACTATTAAAGTCAGAAGATCTCATCAGCTGAGTGAAGCTCTAGCAATTAGTATTTAGGAATTATTTTGCCAAGAACGCCTAGGGAATTTCCACAAGTAGAACTTAAAAATACAGAAAAGGCAGCATTATTCATTACAAATGAAGATGGGAGGCTGCTTTTCTTCTCAAAATTAAAGCAACTGAATCTAGTATTTCTTGAAAGATACACCAGTTCTCCAAAAGAAAATGACAGAAGTGCAGCTTAGTTTTTGAGCCTACTAAATTTAATATTCTGCTTCTACAAATGTTTTGCCAGAGGCTAAAGAAAACCGAGTACAAGTATATCTGTCTAACATATTTGGGTTTTCCACTCCAAAAAACACAGGTATGCACAGGAATATTTTCATGCAAGCACTTTAGAAGCATTTACCTATGGGGGTTTGAGGGCTAGATTCATACAAGTATTCGGGTGCTTAGATGCTCGAGACACCACTCTGCCATCATCTACCCCTGCAGGTGCCAGTTTTCCCCCGATCGCTTAGTCTTCCATATAAAACCTAAAAAACAACAAGTCGTTTGTAAGGACTGTATGCCTTGGGCCTGATATGCTCTATACCAGCCTCAGTGGGACCCTCAAACCAAGCATTTCCAGATGGAAAAGTGGACTTTCCAACTCAGAGTGTTCTTTGTTGTAGGGCTCAATCCAATGAATCTTCAGTCCTGGACTGGAGCGCACACGAAACCAGGCAAGGTCTCTCACAAAGCACTGACAAGTCGATCCTCAACTGGCATGTGGGACAGAAAAATTCAAATCCTTCCTCTGTCTCTTCTGGGGCAGAATTTTAACTCTTCCTTCCCTCACAGAAAATTCCTTAAACACTCGGTGCTCAAGAGGAGGGAGGCAGAGGAAAGGGAACCTTTTAAAATCTCCTATTGAAGCCATTGCCATTTCATAAAATACTGACAATGTTAATAAGATAATAAACAGTTTGAAAATATTCCCACAGTTCATTGGTTCACATATTTTACACAAGTGACCAAAATTACAATCCCTTTCTGCACACTTCAGATCATGTACGGTGCCCTCAGCACAGCAGGTAGAAAGACCTGGACCCCGGAGCAATTAATAGCACAACGGTTAACACATTTTCTGGCTGATATGCACACAAAGCAACAGTAGAGCTTACATGGCTTTGGTTCATAATTCTAGGAGAAAAGACAAAGCCCAAACGGAAGGAAATTTTTGTCTCTGACTTACAGATTCTCTGTCCTTCTTTTTGCAGAAGTTGCAGAAATGATTAAAAAACCCCAGAGGGGCAGACTTCCCAGTCCACACCGCAAAACACACTTCGAAATCACATTCAGCAGCTGTTCAACTACCTGCAGTAGAGCAAACCCGTAACAGGACAATGCAGTTGAATATTCTACCCACAGACATGGCCATGTTTCGGGCACAGCTGCCTTTATTTTTCGGTCCTTCTCAGGTCTAGGGGAAAACAGAAATGGAGTCTAGAAAAGGTCTTGTTTTTTATCCCAGGTGGACAATACATTTGCACTATGTAGAAAATAAAGGAGAAGTATTCCTAACTTCAGAGTTCATCTTTTTAAAGGCATGGCCATGTAAGCAATGCATCAATCAGGCTGCTATTTCTACCACTTCTAAGGGCACTTTGGGGTCATTTTACTGCAGGAAGAAGTTTTATGCTAGAAAATAAAACACTGGAAGACAGACATGTCAGCTCTATTTTTCAGATGATCTATTATCACCAACGGATATTTGTTTAGTCTATACAGACAATAATAATTCTCAAAACTGGCAACTATCCCAGATAGCAAATTTAAAAGAAAGCTCTTATGTTGTAAGAACACCAAACAATTCATATTTTCATCTGAAGTTTACAATTTGGAATTGAAAAGTTATACCTTGTTACAAGTAACTCTTAAGAGTAATAAAACAGCAATATACTGGGTGTAAAAAACATCTTCCTCTCAGTTTTCCTCCACTTTGCCAGTTTTGTAACAGGAACAACAACAAACAACACATAACCCGGGTCTAACCCTGTTCCTATCATGAATGTGGACACTCAAGAAACCAACCTCTCAAGCCTATGCCATTTTCTGGTGGCAAGTATGTACCAGGGATAATACTGTGTTGAAGGCAGCATTAGCCCAGAGGTGCATTAGCACCTGCACGCAGACTGGCTGTACGTTTCTCCAACCAGCTCCAGGACAGTACTCTGCCACAAAATCAACTCTACATACATCCTGTTCATGCACTGCTCTAGTGGAAGCTCACTTAGGTGAACTTTCCCCTGTTCGGCAAGGTAAACCTAACCAGTAAGCACAAATTCAAACAGAACTATAAAAGAAACAGGACTGAGTCAAACACGTATCTTATTGTTCCCAATCCTCTCTTCAAAGTCTCATCTCCAAAAACACTGCAGTGAAGAACTCTATACAGCCTTAACGCTTGAGGATATATTATTTAAATAGTATATACAGTCTGCTGGCTTTTTCAACCTAATAAAAAAAATCTTTCCCTTTATTTTTTCCAGAAGCTTACAGATAATCCTATTATTAGTTGACAACTCACTTTAAAATGCTCTACTCCCAAACAAGAGGCATTGCCAATGCCACCGTTCTCTCCAAATTTAAAATACTTGAAAGTTGTTATCGGAACACAATGCCACAGCAGCTAGCAGAACAACTCCTCAAAGGTTAGATTGCACACCTCACTTTTCTCTTCAAAATACTATTAAGATAGTTTGTTTCCACTCACAATTTTCAAGATTTGAAAGGAGAATGGAAATCTGACTTTGATGCATGCAATTTTTATGAAAAGCTTACTTTCTTCAACAACAACAAATTGTACACTTGGCACCAACTCTCTTTCCTCAGATTTTCCCAGCAATAATGCATACCTCCCAGAAGCCCGCCTTTTTGATCTGTTGAAAAAACTCTTCCAACTCTTTTATTGTCAGACTCAAGGTACTGTTCCAGATGCAAAAACCCTGGAAATGTTACATAAGGGCAAAAGAGATTGATTCACCGTGACTGACAATTCAAGCTCTGCCTCTTGGGATGCAGACCACCACTTATTAATCTCCAAGATAATTTTCAATAAAGCTTATGCATTTTCTCAGGTAACTGTTGCAGACACCCATTTCTGCAGAGCATAAGTGATGTTTTCTTGGTCTCTTTTACAGCTCCAATCCCCACAGCCCCCTGAACTTCAAGTTGAAAACTACAGGTAAAGAATATAACAGCAAAAAGAATGAATGATGGGCTAGTCTTCTCACAATGCTGAAGAATATATGAATATCATTAATTTCACGGCAGGGAAATCATCTACACATAAATAGAAGTTTGTAGCACTATATATCTGAACAAGTGTCACTAGTTATATAGCAGATGATTCTTTCATTTTTGGAGTTTCTCTCTGATGGATCACAAAGCGCCATACAAACAGCAATCTGAACCTCAGAAGTGTGTTTCAGCTAGAAAGAGGCTGAAAGGATAACAGGTGAGCAACATCTTTTATGATAGTAAGGGCAAAGGACGAACAACTCCAACTAAGAACACCATGGCAGATCATTATTCTTACAAAGGTACCAAGAGAGTTTAATGCATGGCCGAACTGAGAAACCCCAGCAGCTTTAAACATCTCATCTGACTGTCTGACACTGCAAAAGGCACACACCACCATGCACACCTCAAACAAGGTGGTCCATCAGAGGAGTACTTGCATCTTCAGATTACTTCATATTATCTACTAGATCAGAGATTTAAGACACCTAACGTACATCAAAGAGTAATAAATGTTTTCATACCACTTCTTCTCCAGGGTTTGTAAACAAGACCATTAATCTTTACTGTATCAGCAGTATAGGCAGATGTGGCTTCTTTCAGAGATACACAGTCAAACGCAGAAACCTCTGATCAGTAACATCCCCAGCTATGTCTAGACCTTTGGCAACACAGCCAAACGCAGCAACCTCTGACCAGTAAAATTCCCAACTATGTCTAGACCTTTGGCACAGAACGAAAATTGTCACTGATGTGTTTTTTGTATTTTTAGCAACAGTTTACCTGAGTAAACACGGAAAGATTTAATCCGAGGCCAGCAAGCCAGACACAGGGCAAATTTAGCCCCTGGGCCCTACATCTGTGTGCATACCTCTGATACATAAAACTTCATCGTTTCAGAAAACACGTAAGGGTGTTACCTTTCTGGACGTGGATGATGTCTGGAAAGTTGGCCAAATGCCCCTGATACAGCGCTAACAAATCCATCACAGGATCTAGGTCCTGCCGGGGCTGATCTGCAAAGAGGTCCCCAATGGCGTCGTAGGCTTCTGCAGTGAAGGCTATGGCTTGGTTGAGGCCAGCCGAAAAGGCCTGCTGGTCGAGCTCAAATGCCTGACTGAGGCACTTAAAGGAGTGCCCCACCTTCTGGTACTCCTTCTTGAAACCAGTGACTTGTTTGCGGGCAAACTCATTGGCCGTGTGATTAAGCTGCAGGGCACTCTCGTCCATCTTCTTCGTGAAGGCTTTGAAGCCATCCACCTGGCTTTCCACCTCCTGCAAGTCCAGGCCGGCCCCAGGGCCAGTGGGGACACTGATGGTCAGGAAAAAGTTGGCACCCACCATCTCATCCTTCTCAGCCTTGCGCTTTCCTTGTTTCCAGGCCTTCTCATCCGTGCTGGGACAGGTGAGGAAGTGCTGGAAGGCATCGCACTGAGCCAGCACAGGGTGGCTGCACATATGGTCCATCCACCAGGCCAGGCCTTTGCGACGTTTGGAGATGAAATCCTCCTCGAAGCGGCCAGTGGCCTGCTTCTCCGGCAAGTGGGGCACGGAGATGACAGGGAACTTCTCGGCCAGGCGCCCGTAGAGCCAGTCAAAGTGCTTGTAGCGGCGGTGCACCTGCTGCCCGGTGTGGCTGGGCACCAGCTTGTAGGCGATGTAGCTCTTCATGCCCTTGAACTTGGTCTGCTTGGTGGGGTCCTCAATGGAGCACTGGAAGGGGTAGGGGTTCTCCTGCCACTCGGGGCCCCGGGGGCCCAGCACCACACACAGCTTGTCCCCGTCCTTCACGAAGCCCGATGCCTCGCCCAGCACGAAGGCCTCCCCGCCGGACTTGACGAAGGTGGAGAAGCGGTTGAGGTTGCGGCTCACCGTGGCCGAGCTCTTGGCACCGCCGCCGCC